AGGACCTATTAACGAAAACGGACTATAAAGATCCAGGTACAACCATGAACTCTACCAGCTGTCAAAGAGGCACTGATCTCAGAATTCGTTAAACTTCAGAGATTTTGACCAAAGATCAAAATGCCACGGAAAAGGTAGGAGGATAAAGTGACAGCGAACGCGCAAAATTTTCCTACACATGAGAACATGGAGAAAATCCGGCAAGGTTGGAGGCAAAGTTTGGAGGAGGCCAAGGTTCGATTTGGTCTGTAGCGCCATTGGAGAGAGGGAGAGAGAGAGAGAGAGAGAGAGAGAGAGAGAGAGAGAGAGAGAGAGAGAGAGAGATCGTTCAATAAGTAATGCTATCTAGTAATCCCGTTTTAAATAATATCGAATAAATACGTAACATTACAGTTTTATATATAAATCAATCTGTCCCAAGTCAACATGTAGTTCCATAAGTAAGGAAGAGAGAAGGCGATGTATCCAGTTATGCATGTATATGAATATCTCTATTATTTTTATTATACCACTTCCCTCCCGGTTTTCAGTAATAGTTCTGTTAAGATGTCATTAATGTTGCCAATTCTTTAGTTACGAGTTCATTCTCATCCGCCAATATGTTTTTAATTTTCTCCTTATGTATTTGTTCATTTTCTTCCAATTTTTCCATATCTAGACTTTGCCAGTTATTAGTTCTTTTTTTCATTTTTAATTGTCCATTAATGCTAACCTTCGCTCTAACTAATCTATGGTCACAACCAGTTGTGAAATGGTTAAGTACTATTACGTCATATATGTGTTTTTTGATGGTACACAAGGCAAATATCGAACACAGTATTTAATTAAATCTTGCCCAAGTACTTTCGATCACAAGATCATCCTCAGGGGCATTTCGTCAATTGTGGCCTATCCAGCAATAACCAAATGTCATACATGTAAACTGGGACATAACAAATACACTAAAGACAAACAAACACTTTAAAATTTAAATTTGGAGAAGCTACATTTTTATATTATAGAAGCCGGAGACAGATTGATTCTGTCTTCGGCTTCTATAATATAAAAATGTAGCTTCTCCAAATTTAAATTTTAAAGTGTTTGTTTGTCTTTAGTGTATTTGTTATGTCCCAGTTTACATGTATGACATTTGGTTATTGCTGGATAGGCCACAATTGACGAAATGCCCCTGAGGATGATCTTGTGATCGAAAGTACTTGGGCAAGATTTAATTAAATACTGTGTTCGATATTTGCCTTGTGTACCATCAAAGTTCATTTATTCGAACATTCAACCTTATATTGATATATGTGTTTGTAAAATTGAAAAAAAAACATGGAGCTGTAATAAGTAACTCACATTGGAACTGAAAGTGAGAACACCCATTATCAGTACTACAATATGGAATGGAAAGTTGGACACTTAAACAAAAGCATATAAACAAATTACAGTCATTTTAAATGGGATATTGCAGAAAAATACTGAAGATAGTATAGGCACAAAAAAAAACAAGAATATTTTGCTAGAGATAGGTAAATAAAGTTACAATACCTGGGACATTTAAAGAGATGAAAACGACAAGTGATGCTTAGAAAATTTGGGAAAAAATAAATGGAGGAAGTTTGAAGAAAAAAAAATTCATTGTTAAAAAGTTTAAGAGAACTTTGTGTCCGGTAAGTGCTGGGTGGATTGAGTAGCTCAGTAAATGCCGGTGCCGGTCCCAAGCCCGGATAAAGGAACAGGGTTGAGGCAACTAGCAACTCATCCCTTGTCAAAACAAATAAATGCTAAATATGTCGACCAAAAGCCTCGGAATACAAAGGATGGATCAAAACAAAGACGACAAATGCAACGGAAGAGGAAAATGATATTGGCTACATGGAATGTACAAGGACTTAGATCCAAACAAGCAGGAGTGTTCAAAGAATTAGAGGAAAGAAAAATAGATATATGTATTTTTAACGAGACCAAGAAAAAGGGAAAAGGAAATGAAGAGATAGGAGAATATATACATATCTACAGTGGAGTGCGTAAAGATAACAGAGCTAAGAGAGGAGTCTCTATTGCCATTCGAAAAAATCTTAAAAACAATATTAAATCGTGGACCGAAGTAAATGAACAACTGCTAATACTGGAAATAAAAAACAATGGGCACAACATCGTAATTGTCGGAGTGTATGCCCCAAATGATGATGCAGATCCAGAAAGTAAAGACGATTTCTACAACAAGATGAATGAAATACTCTCTGAAATTAAAGAAAACTGTGAAATCTTTATACTAGGAGATTTAAACAGCAGAGTAGGGAGAGAAGAAAATAACAGAGTCGTAGGAAGATATGGAGAACAAATAACCAATGACAACGGAATGCGAACGTGGATCCGACAATCGTTTAGTTATGACCAGCGTGATAGTTAACTATCGCAAAAACAATAACACTCAGGTACAGAATATAGAAAAAGGACAAGAAGTAACATCCCCTAAATATAACCTATAAAGCTTAAAAGAAGATTCAATATTCAAGAAAGGGGATAAACGTAAATGTTCTAATTATAGGGGAATAACTGTTACCAGCTCAGTGGGGAGGTTGTACGGTCGAATAATAAAAGAAAGGATGGAATCAGAATACGAAGACATAGAACAAAATGGATTTCGTACAGAAAGATCGTACACTGATGGTATACTCGTTCTGCAGCAGGTAATCGAAAAACGGAAGGCAAGGAATCTATATACCCACCTATTGTTTGGAAGGCATACGATACGGTACCTTTGAAAAAACTATTTCAAACATTGACGAAAGTAGGTCTCAGTAGAGAGCATGTCAATACTATTGCAAATATATACCAAAATGCAAGAAGTGTCGTTAAAGAAGGAAACTTTATATCTGAATAATTTCCAATAACCAAGGGGCTTAAACAAAGATGTTGTCTATCTCCGACCTTATTTAAAATATATATTCAATCATCGCTAGAGCAGTGGAGGAAACAAGTATCCGGAATGGGAATAGACATAGGCGATGGTAAATACCTAACAACTTTATTTTTCACAGATGATCAGGTAGTCGTAGCAAATGATGAGGAAGACATGGACTACATGTTTAGAAAACTAAAGAAAGAATATGAAAAATGGGGCCTCAATATGAATATGTCAAAGACAGAGTATCTTAAAATCGAAGATGACGAAGAAGATCCAGAGTTAGAAATTAGAAACACAAAAACATGCAATGAATATAAATATTTCGGATCTATAATATCTAAAGAAGGCACTACCAAAAGAAACATCGAAAACAGAACGCAGCAGGAAAAAAAGCGGTTAACACTCTAAACTCTCTATTATGGTCTAAAGATATTAAACAAGAAACAAAATTGACAATCTACCGGACCTTGGTAGAGCCTATTATGACTTATGGGGCAGAAGTTTGGCAGATCACGAAAAAGGATAGAAAAAGAATAGAAGTAGTAGAAATGGATTTTATAAGGAGAACGTGTGGTGTATCTAAAAAAGATCATATCAGGAATGAAGATATTAGAAGGAGGACAAATACTGTATATTCCAGTGTAGACAGAATTGAAACGAGACAACTAGTGTGGTATGGTTACGTGAAGCGAATGAATGAAGATAGATGGCCAAAGAAAGCTTTAAATTACATACCACAACAAAGACGAAGAAAGGGAAGGCCTTCAGAAGGCCTGGGAAGAAAATGTACGACACCTAATGAGAGATAGAGCCATCAAAGACGACGAATTGATGGGCAGAGAACGATGGCGGTCGAAATGCGAGAGGCGGCAGAGGCTGTAGTAACCTCACTTGAAATGTTTACTAGTGATGGTAATAATGGTAATAGTAAGGTTCTTCTTCTTATTGCACCGTCTTCTTTCGAAGGTTGGCGATCCAAATGGCATTGCAACACGAAAGATTTCTGTGGGTGAGCGGTCAAATCATCTCCTCAGATCTTTCAGCCACGAGTTCTGGCATGTTCCAACTGATTTTTTGCCCTGCACTTTACCCTCCAATGTGATTTGGAGTCATTCATTCTTTCACCTCTCAACACATGACCCAAGTATTATTTTCCTCTCTTTGCTTATGAGTAATTCTTTTTGTTATACATTTCAAATTCATCTTTTTTTTTCTGTTTTAGAGTCCGTTGTCCAACTTTCACAGACATACAGCAAAACAAAGAAAACGCCTGATCGTTCAAATTCTAAGCTTGTTCATTCACACAACATTCGTTGGATTCGTATATCTTTGGATGTTTTGAGCTCTATTTTAATTGTTGCCGTTTGGTGCCAATATAGTTCTGAGGTAATTCCCAAGTATTGATTGTCAATTCCAGTTGTTCTCAGAATTTCGATCATTTCAAGCAGTCAAATGCTTTTCGATAATCACTAAAACATGCATATACATCTACATTCATGTCTCTGCATCGTTGTGTTAACACATTTAAGGTAAAAAGAGTAAGTCAAAGGTAAGGCAAAAATAGTAAGGTTGATAGGTCAAATGTTTGAACAGCGTTTCAATTTTCTTAGGTACTTCAATGCGAAGAATCGATATTAATCATATATGCATGTTCATATAGTAGAGTTAAACAATGGAAAGCGTGTACCATGTTGTGCAATTTAAAACTTCCAAGAAAACTGTATGTAAGTTCGCTGTGTAACTATCACTAGTGTAATATACTGAATATTGAAACTGTGCTGCAATATTATTCCTTCAACATTTCTTGTCAGGTTTTTAGTTAATAAACAGTTTCTTGGACAATAATTTCACACATTCCATAGGATCTATTAACATTTTTTTTTATTTTTGTGCTTAATTTTTATTTTATTTTGAATACGATACAAAGAAAATATTATTGTTTTCCAGCTTTAAAAAAGAAAAAATAACTTTGTCTTTGTAAATGATAATGTTTGTACATACAATAAGTAGGAGTTTCGTATTTTTATTCAAACAAGATACGAAAATTTTCTTACATACATATTTCTTTATACACTAATTACAAAAACAAATATAGAGAGGTACTTACTTTTTTTGTCTCCTTCTTCTGCAACAATAATTACCCATATCAGTAAAGAAGTACCGTGGTCAGAACTCATGACATTTAAAAAGTGTGTATACAAATATCTGTCATGAATATAAACAACTGTCACAATAATCACAAGCATTCAATGTCCAAATACCATTGGTTTACTCGCTGTTGGGACGATCTGTATATATTTTCTTTGAAAGTAAATTGAAACTTGATCAAAACTTTAATTTTCATTGTTAGAAATTAGAAAGTGGGTTACTTTTTAGCAACTGTAAAGGACACGTGAAAGTATTATGGTTGCTATAGTTACCATTTGGTCACTGTCAACACAATACTGTGTGTCTAGCATGACTAATCATATCCAATAAAAAAAACGAAAGATAAAAGATTATAACACAGTAAATGAAGTTTTATTATATACCTAAAATGGTGCAAATTCATCTTAACTCTATATGAGGTGTTCGTGATTGTAGTAAAATAATTTTTTAAAAGCATAAAAACTGGTCCAAACTACATATAAAACGAATTAAAATAGAACGTTTTAAAACGAATAGATGAAGACAGGGTAAAATCGGATACAAATTTAGACTTTCGTTTTCTTGTTTTCTCTAATGTCTAGAAAAACCTACTTCTCAATGGAAGTTGTCAATTATCCTTTGGTATCTCTCTTTGACTGGGTTAATGTAATTACCGTTCACACATATATAGCCTGAGGCAAATCTAAGGAACGCTTGAATTATTGCAGAAACGACTACTAGGATAATTTTGAAATTTGTTTTATAGAGGTTGTGTAGTACCTACCTACGGCCGATTATCATATGGAAAAAGCATTGTTGTCAGATCTTTCATTTTTCTCATAATATACCTAGGGAACTTCGTTTTTTTTTTTTAAATGGACTACCCCGTCACAGATTGTTATTTATTCTGTGACCCTGTATGTATATTGTGTATTTTACGATTTTTAGATTAATAAGTAGTAGTAGTATTAGTTTAGATAAGTAATTCTGAATAGTTTTCATGTAATACTCCTTATACCAAAATATAAACATTTTCAATTTCAATTAGACTTTAATATGTTACCAAATCTCAAATGAATACATAAAGATAACTCCGATTGAAGCAATACTTGTGCCAATTTTAACATTTTGCATTTTTTTATTATGCTCATTATTTATTTGAAGAACATGTCGAAATACTTATGAAAAGAAATGATCTTAGAATATGGTAATAAACGGAGAAAAAATTCATAATATCTTTAATGATTTATATCCCAACTAAAATTTCAACATGGTCTACCTAAAAGAAGAAAAAAGCACCGGGATCAGATAGGGTCATGAACAGGAGAGTAACAAATCTGCTCAAGAATGCGATCGTATAAATCATAAATGTGATGCTCAGACTAAGAAGATTTCCTAAAAAATGAGAGGGAGCTTAAATTATAATGTCCAAAAAAGCAGGAAAAATTGAATATTCTATCAAAACTACAGACCAATCAGTCTACTATCATCAATAAGCAAGGTTGCAGGGAGGCTGCTACTAGTTAGGGGTAAAGAAGAGTCTGAAACAATAGGTACGATATCAGAAGCACAACTTGATTTCAGACCTGAACACTACAGTGAGCTACGAGTGCTAAGGTTGACCAAATACATCACCGAGTGATTTAACCAGAAGAAATATATTGCTACTGCATTCCTAGACGTTACTAAGGGATTTCGCAAAATGTAGCATGAAGAGTTTATTCACAAAATAATCTAACTTGGATACAGCAAGGCAACGAAATGACTTCTCTTGTCGTACCTAACCAATAGAAAGTTTAGGGGTTCAGATAGGACACGTTCTGTCCTAAGTCGGCATAATTGGGAGAAGCACTGTCAACTTCTCTATATACCCAGCGAACCTGCTCAGTACCTATGCCGATATATGAGCAATAGCATCGAAAAGCCAAACCTAGCGAGAAAATGTCTACAATATACGCTAACGCAGTTGAAAGATTGGTACCTACATTATTTTATGGAAAATCGCAGTAAACTCAGAGAAATCACAGGCAGTCATCTTCCAAAAAGATTCGGAAGTCCAAACTGCCATATTAATAAGCACGTTAAGACCTTTTATTGGAAGAAATAACAAATTAAGTCTGAAAATGAAGTTAAGAATGGCAAAAAGTATCATTATACCAATTATAAAATATGGATTAATAGCTTTGGGATCAAACCTGTAAAACCAACAGGAAAAAGATCCAAACATCCCAAAGACAATTATAAGGGAGGCTGTGAACATACCCAAATATGTGTCCGAAAGGTTCGTATACAATCTAGATATTAGATATTATTTTATGCAACTAAATTTAAGTCAGTGAGTTTCATATTGGCTCAAATCACCTCATTTGTACTACTTAAAAATAGAGAGGTGTGCCCTAGATTTCTCACAACTGTACCAGCCGATATGCAAGGCACTGTAAAAAAAATAATCTATATAAAGATCTGAAACTATGTGTATGAAATCCCGTACTGTATTAAATTGCCGAAAGTGGGGTCAAAATTTTCCGAAAATCAAAGATTGTCCCTGCTACTGGTACCAATATTTTTATACGACATTAGGTCGCAGGTCATTATTTTTTTTATTACCTACCCAAGTTATAAATGCCGTACAAATATGTTTGACCAAAATATCTCCCTCGCCCCTTGAGTGGTAAGTTTACCTTACCGTGTAAGATAAGATTTATATGTGATTCATGCTGGCTCAAATGACCCCTTAAAAATGTCTTCTGTATTGAATATGTATTGAATAAAGAAGAAATAGATAACTTCTTATCAGAAGCTGGAGATAATACCTACTTAGTATCAAAGGTACCCAATTCAAATAAATGTTATGTATATTCTTCCTTTTGATTAATTTTTATGCATGTTTTAGGTTGCATTGATCAGTGGTTTGTCAGGCGCTTGTCGTGAAGAGTTTTGTAAAATGAGTTTAAAAGTATACAAAATAAGATACCCATGTTAGTAATTACAATTTCAATTCTAAAACTAATATGACAAAGAGCGATGAAGAACGTTTAAGATGCTTTGAACCTAAAATCCTCCTGCATATATATGGAGGAGTACAAGAGGGTGGATTATGGCGTAGACGCTATAATTTCAAACTTTACCGCCTCTATGACAAACCTGATATTATTAGGTCCATCAAAATAAACCGGCTGCGGTGGTTATGTCACATAGAGAGAATGGACGATTTCGATGGACGATGGAGCCGCCAAAACATATTTATAATATAATATTTATATAATAAAATAATAAAACACAATCACAAATACATATCACATAATTAAAGTAGACTTAAAAATACAGATTTGGCATTAACATTAAATCTGTTTGGTAGCTCATTTGGTTTAAAGCTTTTTAGTCCAGATACTTCATTATTGTCATCGAATAACCACTTTGCGAGTACATTGGGATGCACTTTTATCCGTTCACCATATTTGACACTGAAAATTATTACAACTACTTTTACCGAAGATACTTCCAGATCTTTTTCTATAGAGGAGGATGTAATATACCATGGAGCATTTACTATAGACCATAACATAAGCAGTTTGTTATCTAATGTTAATTTAGAGTTTCGACCAATTAACTAGTACATAATGTCTAAATTTAATGTCCAGTTGTTTTTTTTTTTGGTAAAGATCTGCTTCCGTCAGATTAGTCGTTTTTCAAGATGGATACTAAAGTATTTTGTATCTTTTGTCTTGTTTGTCATTGAGTGTAACTGAAGGCATTCATCTCGTTTCATTGTGAATATTACACGTATTGACTTGGTCTTATTTATCTAGTTTCTATTTTATCTAGTTTTTTTTGTACACTTTCTGATGCTTTTGTGGAACTAAAGTCCATGGCCAGTATTACGGTGTCGCCTGCAAAAGTGGCAACTTCTGTGTTATTGCTGGATGGGAGGTCTGCAGTAAACGTTAGGAATAAAATAGGTCCTAATACGCTTCCTTGTGGAACACCTGCTTTGACCTATTCCACTACGACCTTTTTAGATTTATTGTGGTCCTCTAGTCCTTTTTTTCTTCTTCTTTTGTGAGGGGGAGTGATCCAAATGTTCTAAACATACCTCGGTCCTAGAAGGCGAGCAGAACCGCCTTCAAGCCTCGGTTATGCAGGACTCCTCCAGCGTGGCCACAATGATACCCGAGGCCGCTCGCTCGGGTTGTTCGGACACCATCGCCGTCAATGCCAGAGAACTACCTGCTAAAAAAACACCCTCCTCAGCGGTGAATTACCTGCCGGATCGCCCTGATTGGGACGCAACCTCGGCACGGCATTCACCCGAACTTTCATTCACGCACAATTCTCACGCTCTAGCACTTTCTCACTACGACGGCATTCTTCTCTCCCTCTATTCCTCCCTATTCATGTTAAATCTCACTCATTCTGCCGTATCTTCTTGCTTGGTCCTGGGCACCCTGCCTATCTCCGGGTCGCCTTTCTTCTTGTTCCTTTCTTTCCAATGTTTTCCTCACATATCTCTGAACTGCTTTCCACCGATCTGACGACCTAAGAATCTCCTCCACCAATTCTGTGACTGATTACACCCTACCTCCTAACTCTCTCTCTAGCAGGCTCCTCTCAACTATCCATCTATCGCATACTAATAGGGTGTGTTAGGCAGTGTCAGATATTCCACAATACAAGCATTTGTCATTTTCTGCCTTTCCAAATCTGTAAAGGTATGCCCTGAAGCAACCATGTCCTGTGAGCATCTGCGTCAGGAAATAATCTAAACGCTGGTGCCCGCAATCCATCCATCGTCTCAGGTTAGGAATCAACGACTTCGTCCACTGCGCCACCCTTCTCATCTCATCCCATTCCTCTTGCCACACCATTATGGACCTTTCACTTTCTTCTTTTTTTAAACGTTCTGTTGCTTTGTCTTCATTTCTTCTCTCGTATATTTTTCCTCTTTCCTTCACTAGTACGTGCATTGGAATACACCCAGTGATAACTCCTAACGCCTCTGCAGAGACTGTTCTGTATGCACACGCCACCCTCAATAGGCCCTCTAGTCCTAGATAACATTCTTTAGCCTGACC